GGCCTAGCTCGGCACAGGGTGGCTATCTGCAAGCCACGGCCTGGCACCCCTGCTGCCCCAGGCCCTTTGCTCAAACACTGTGGGGGTGTCTCCCCCACTTTCTGAGACCGCTTGGGCTGCGTGTCATCTGTCTCCTGGCCAGCCCACTATGGAAGAAGAGCCACATTTCTGAGTAAGCGACTCGGATGTTTGAGAGGGCAGGCCCGGACAGCCAGACTGCGCCGCACAGTCTTGTGCTGCAGCCTGTGAGGACGCCCTGTGGGAAACTGTCATCATTTGGGGAAAGCGGCCTGCAAATGCCTGTGTTGGTCCCCAGCCCTCTGCACACCACATACCCACAACAGGATTAGTGAGGTGAGCCACGTGAGCCCCTCTGCCTAGCTGACCCCAGGAAACGATGCTAGAACCACATGGAGGTGGCGGTCCCTTGACGCCACCACTGGCAGGCCTTGCAGCCGCGGCATGTGAGGGGATGTCAGCTCGACGCACGGTCAAGGAACTACCAAAACCTAGGGCTCTCCTCTGGGGAAGATGAACTATTCTGGAACCAGACAGAGCGGCTAGCTGCAAAACACCGGGTGCCCGGAAAGTCCCTGAATCTTTCACTCAGAAATGGTTCACTCATGTGGGGGAAATGTCCTGTCGGCAAAGACCCCATGGCCCTACCCATGTCTGCGGTGTGCCGGGTGGACAGGGCCCATCAGGACCGGCTGTGGTGCCCCTCCAGGTACTGGCCCCACGGCCTGAAGACCTCGTGCGGCCCCGACGTGTTCAGTGGCAGCTCATACCCCGGGGCACAGTCGTACATGGTCGTGCTCATGGTGACCTGTTGCATCGCCCCGCTCAGTGTCATCGTGTTCTGCTACCTCAGGGTGTGGCTGGCCATCCGCGCGGTAAGCCCCAGCCCCCCCCCCCCCCCCCGGCCGCCTGCTCTCCCGCTCACAGGCCAGGCGTGCCTGCGCGTTTGCTCAGTCCTGGCCCGTGCCCCTTCCTGGGGGCCCGTGGAGGGGTGGGAGCTGCATTTCCTCCAGGCCCAGGATGGTTTGGCGAGGGGAGGGGGGGTTTCTGCATCCCCCACAGCACGGAGTGCAACCAGCCAGATCCACAAGTGAAATCTACAAATTGAGTTTTATTTAAAAAAAATTTTGAGGTAATGTTGGATCACATAGTTGCACCCCACACCCACTCTCCACCTTCCTTCCCCAGAAGTCGATCCTGTTCACAGCCACCCGGTGCCCTACAGGCTGGGGAACTCTTCAGAGCCAGGCAGAGACGGGATTGGGTCTTGGGGTACTGATAGCTCCCCCTTGTGGCCCCCTGCACACAAACGGAAGTTGTCCCTTTGTCAACTGCAATGAGCCTCATCCCCAAGTGCCTGCTGATTGCAGGCGGGGGTGGGGTCTCCTGCGCGCGACTGTCTGTGCGCACGACCAGCCCAGCCCGCGCTAAGGCCCCTCCTGGGGAGGACGCACGGACACCACATGCTCCCAGCGCACGTCCCCAGCTGCATCAGCCTGCGATCCCCCCACCAGTGCTGAAGGGTCACTGCTGAGAGCTGGATGCTGGCTGGCAGGGGTGCTGGAGTAAGCAGGCCCTTTTCCTTCTCCCACAACTCCCCTGCCCATGGCCACCCGCCTCTCATGCCCCCACACACACTAGTGTCAGAGCAACAGCCATGTCATCATCGAGTCCCCTGGGCCACAGAGTCCTAGGGGCCTCCTGTACTCACTGTCCTTTTGCCGCTTTGTCTCCCCCAGGTGGCGAAGCAGCAGAAAGAATCCGAGTCCACCCAGAAGGCCGAGAAGGAGGTGACGCGCATGGTGGTGGTGATGGTGCTGGCCTACTGCGTCTGCTGGGGGCCCTACACCTTCTTCGCCTGCTTTGCCACTGCCCACCCTGGCCACTCCTTCCACCCTTTGGTGGCTGCCCTGCCAGCCTACTTTGCCAAAAGTGCCACCATCTACAACCCCATTATCTATGTCTTTATGAACCGGCAGGTAAGACACCATCAGCAAAGCAAACTAGAAATGGCCCCGGTCCAAGCCCAAGGCGCCACCGCTGGCAGCAGCCGCCGGGCTTCTCCCACGGCCCTCGAGGCCGAGTTCGGCTGGGACGAGCACTGGGATTTCCTAAAGGTCCCTCTCTCACTTTCATTAGCGCAGCTCTTCTCTCAGCCTGCAGCCTTGCCAACTTCCAGGCCACAAGGCCGTACTGACAGGTGCTCTCACGAGCTCCTGGATCAGTGCAGGACAGACTTGGCGCCCGGGCTCTCCACCGCCGGCAGCCTCAGTGGCCAGGCCTCCGAGGCCACCTTGGTAGATCACAGGGACCGTGTAAGGCTCACCTGCTTCTAAGTGCAACTTGCGCTGAGTCTTCGTGGTGTCCCACGGCCACCTCACACAGGCACAGCTGCCAGGTGACCGGACAGTGACCAGAGAGGTCCCGCAGGGGCCTCACACAGGCCAGAGCCAGTCAGCCCTCCCGAGTGGCTCCGCCAGCCCTGCTGGCCCAGCCTCGGCACCCACCAGTGTTCAGTAGGACATGTCTGAAAACGGATGCCCTCTCCACCCTGTCTTCCCTTTCCTGTTGTACTTTGTGAGAACTTTCTGGAATGGAGCTCCAGGACAGGGAATTGTGCTTTTTGTTCACGACTGCTCCCCTCTGGAACCATGTGGCACAGAGGATGCTCGACGGGTAAATGTGGAATGAATTCCTAAGCCTCATATTATTATTTCAATCATGTTTTACACTCTGAGAGTTTTGAGGCTGGAAGGAGCCGGAGGTGGTGAGGAGCAAGCCTGGGCTAGCTAGGAGACGCCTGGGGGCTGTGCCCTCGAAGCACCAGGGTTAGCACAGGGACGAAATGAAACATCACCTGAGATGTGAGCACGCTCAGATCTGGGGCCACGCTGCCAAGAGCAGACCCTCCTGGTGTCAGAGATGCTCTTGGCTGAACAGATGAGATGGCTCAACTGCTTCCCCTTGGCCTCGCCCAGGCCACGCAGAGAAACAAGGGCACAGCCATGTTCCTTCTCGCCAGAATGCCTCAAGCCCTCCCAGACAGTCTGAGGTCAGATCACCCGGCTCAAGAGCAGGGAGTGGGCCGGGAACCTCCCTTTCAGAGGCTGGGACGGGTGTGTCCCAACCCTTCTGCAGCTCTCAGGCCACTCCCAACCCTTGGCATTGAACTTGTCCAAGCCACCCCGGTCTCTGTCTTCACCGTGATGAGGCTCCTTCCCTGTGCGCGTCCATCCCTTCCTCCTGGGACCCCGTGCTGGGATCGGGCCTCCGCGCTCAGTGTGCCGCCTCATCACGGCCACCATGTCAGGGCGGTCAAGGCTACTGTGGAATCGAGGGGTGCACAGGCTGCAGGGGTCGGGATTTAGTATTTCCCCGGGGGGCAGCATCAGCTGCCAGGAGAGTGAGTGAGGTCAGGAGGGGAGCAGGGCCACCACAGGGAGGGAATGCCCTCGCTTGCCCCTTTCCCAGGAGTCGGGGAAGGCGGGCAGCTGCGGCCCAGCTGTGCAGGCGACTTCCTCGGGTGTCCTCCTGCACAGCGAAGTGATACTTTCTGTTATTTCTGCCAGTTTCGAAACTGCATCTTGCAGCTCTTTGGAAAGAAGGTGGATGACAGCTCTGAACTCTCCAGTGCCTCCAGAACGGAGGCCTGCTCTGTCTCTTCGGTGTCCCCTGCCTGAGGCGCTCACAGCCCGAGGCTAAGGCTGAGGCCGAGGCTGGCCTGTGTGGAGCCAAGCCGGAAGCCCGACCCCCACCCAGGGGCTGTAGCCACCCTCCGCTCCTTGCCACCTTCCCTGCAAAATAAATGTAGTTTCTCTACCAAAACCACTGAGTCACGAGGCAGCACGACCGTCTGGGGCCCTAAGCCCGCGGCATGCAGTGTGGGGTGCGGGAGGGCAGCGCAGAGACAGGGCTGCGCACGACAGTCTGTCATCTGTGCTGAGCCTCAGGCCTGCAGCGGGGTGGGAGGACGGTGAGAAGGGGCACAAGGGGCTGCGGCACTTGAGGGGGTCAGGCAGCGAGGATGGGCCACAGGGGCGGGGGGACGGCGGGCCGAACTGGCCTTCTCGGGCCCTTTAAGGCCCATCTGGCAGAGGCTTGGAGTCCTTGGCATGGACTCTCCACCGGGAGGGGTTCCAGGAGGGCCAATCGGTGGCAAGGATAGCGTGTCGCTTCTGCCAAGCCAGGATCCCGAGCACGACCAGCAGCAGCACGGTGCAGGTCCGCAGGCGTGAGTCGAGCAGCAGCGCAGGGCAGGCACAGGTGGTGGACACGAGGACCAAGAGGACAGTGACCAGGGTGAGCAGCAGGCTCACGGCGCGGAACACCAGCTCCTGGGGACGGCTCTGGAAGCGCCCCGGCCCCCGCAGCTGGGCCGCCTGCTGCAGAGTCTCCAGCTTGGCGATCCGGCTCATATACGTTTCCATGACCTCCTACCGGTGACAGAAACACCCGCCCGCCGAGGTCAGCGGGGCCGGGTGTCATTCACCCGAGTCCTTAGGGGCACGCAGCAAGATGGAGGAAGGAAGGCCCCGACAGGGAAGGGTTGGCCGCTACTGAGCCTCCCACTGGCAGCGATGGAGTCACCTCTGACCTGGCCACACACCCTGGTCCCTCATCCTGCGAGGCCTGGACAGAGCAGGCAAGGCCAGGAGCAGGAGCGGGCTGCGCCATGCGGGAGAGGAAGCCCTGCCCCCACATCGTTAAGGTCGGGGCAGAAGCGGGGGGTCCCTAGAGGGTGATCCCCACACCAGCAGCAGGCTCTCCAGGAGGCCCTGACGCCCCAAAGTAGGAAAACTGAGATCAGAGGAGCACAGTGTGATGCAGATGGCTCCGTGCCAGCTGCAGCGCATGAGGGTCTGGGCACTGTTCCCTCAGCAGGGCACAGCCCGAGGGGGATCCCCTCTCTGGGTGTGAGGGCGCCACAGGGCCTTCGTCCTTCTTGCTTCTCTCTGGCCTACCTCCTTCTCTCTGGCCATTTCTCAGAAAGTGCCCAAGGCCCTCAACCAGATTTCCTTGCTGCTCTCGTAGGACAGGTACACCATCTTCTCCTCGGCGCCAGCCAGGTGCTGCCTGAGGTGGTAAATCTCGTCCAGGTGCCCTTGCAGGTGCTCGTCCACCTGTTCTTCCACAGACGCTTGTCTCCGGAGCAAAAGAGAAAGTGATGTCCTCAGCATCCCGCCTAGAGCTCACGCGGACATTGAGACCAGGCTGGGGTCCAGAACCTACCTTCCATGCCGCCCCCAAGCCCCAGGCAACCTGCCCCTCCTCCAGGGCCTCCTGGGAGCCCCGAGTGCACACACCGACGCCCGGAGATGTTTTCTGTATGCTCACACTTTTGTACCAGCTCGACGACAGCAGCCACAGACAGAGGCTGCGGGAACCGCAGTTTACATCTCCCACCCACACCACTAAACTGCACCCGGGCTTCAGGGCAGCGCGGGGCAGCAGGAGGTTTCCAGAAAAAACCTGTTGATTACGAGGACGGCGTGGTCACAAAAGACCATGCGTTGCATGATTCCATTTATTTGAAATGTTCAGGTGAGGCCAATCAGAAATACAGAAACAGCTGAGTGGGGGTGGGGGCCGGGGGCGGGGAGGGTGCGGGCCGGTGGGCGTGGCACGTGCCAGCTGCTGTGGCACGACCCTGGACGACGACCACTGACTGCACCCTAAATGGGGGCCCCACAGCAGGGTAATTATGTCTCAATAAAGCTGTTAGGAGACAAAAAAAGTGGATTGCAGTAACAGTTGCACAACTCGGGAAATTCACTAAAGATGACCGAGACGGCAGCTCCAATGGCGTGTTCGATGGCAGGCGGAGAAGCGGCGGGAGAAGAGCGCGCAAGCTGGCACTGGGGCCCTGGCAGCACCAGCACCCGGCAAGTTCTTCTCCTCTGACGCGGACGAGTTGACCGAGTACTAGGTGGACGGAGGCCGCTGAAACTGTAACCATGGGGGCATTGTGCGGGCAGAAAAACGCTCAAGGAAGAGCGCTGCCACAGGAGCAGCTGTGGGGCCGGACTCTAGGGCAAGGGTGGGGACAGCCCCCAAGTGGTGTGAGAGTTGAAGCTAAAGGGTTCCTCCCAGAATCTGGAGGCGCCAAAGCGACCCTAGACGATGAGGGTGATTTCTCATTCAGAGGAGGTGACATTCTTGCAAAGTGGGCACGAAAATCATGACTGAAAGGGTGTCGTGCGAGGCCGCCCCTTCCACACGGTCCTGCAGTGGCTCATCATGCGAGTAACCTGGGCCTCTCTTGCAACCAACCACTGCGCTCCAAAGTGGCAACGCAAACCAAGCGTCGCTACCATGCTTTGGGGTCCCAGACCCCAGAAGCACCAGTCCAGCAATGTTCGCGGAAAAGATGGGCGCCAGCAGGAGGGCAGCCAGGTGGGCAAAAGAGATGGGCGGGGGAGGGGCATGAGGGCCTTCGGGCACATCTTTTGAAAACCGTGTTCTTTTTCATCACAGTGCCACTGGCTCACAACCCTGCTCGGGGCGCGGCAGCTACAGCTCACACCTCTTCAGACACCCCCACCAGCAAGGCACCCACAGTCCTCCACCACCATCACGGTGCTCCTCTTTGCTTCCTACTCCTCTGCTCCCCTCCGGGGGGAGAGCCCTAGAGTTTGCTTTGGTTCAGCTGTGTCAGTTTGTCTCAGTTCCTTTGTCTCGCTGCTCTATATTCCGCGCTGATGAAGTCGCCCGGAGCTCGTCCGTCTCTCCGGCTTAGTACCACCACCTCCAGTCCCGGCCGTGCTGGGGTGCGCATAGACCACGTCTTCCTAATCTGCTCCTCTGTCTTCGTGCACTTAGTTATTTCCATAAAGGGAATCTTTTAAAAATATTTTTTCTTTAAAAAAAATAAGATTTGGGGCCTCCCCCATGGCGCAGCGCTGTGAAGCCGACTGCAGCAGCCTCTCTAGTGCCGGTTCGATTCCCGGCCGGCCAGGGAGATTCCCACATGGCGCGGCAGACCTCTCCTGTCGTGCCCGCTGCTCCCCTCAGCAGTGTACTTCGTCAGTCTGCCTGTTCTGCTCCCCACTCTGTCTCTGGTGAATTCTCTCACCCTCCCACACCTCTGGCTTGTACCCCAGCTCTTGTATAAATAAATAAATCTTAAAAAAAAATAAGATTTAATACAAATATGGTAAGTATTAGGGTCTGAGAAGCCGGGGATGGGTATGAGAATGCTGGTCATGCTGTTCTCTGTTTTGCCTGGGCCTGAAATGTTTCGTAATTAACAAAAGCTCGAGGGTCCTCATCAGGCACCAGGAATGACGAACCAGAACGGCAGTGACAGGCAGCAGTCAGGACCGCCACATAGAGAAGAGCGCAAGCCTGACTGGGGGCCGTGACGCTGGCGAAGAGGCGTGGAGCCGCCGAGGGAACAATCACCCCGGGCTGTCGCCAACGCAGGGGCTGTGACTTGGTTCTTCTCAGAGGACTTGACTGCCACCCACTGGGAGGCGGTATCCCGCCACTAACACATTGGTCTCATTTGTCAAAAGGCTTTGCGGTCTAGGTGCTTGGAGGAGAAAGGGTTGTCGGTCCAGAAGCAGAGCTGTGTCGGTGGCAGAGTAAGCGTGGGCACCCGGTGGCACTTCATGTGGGCAGCTAGCTTACGTAAAGGTTTTAGAAAGATTTCGCAGACGTATGCTTTCTAAATGCCATGAATTCCTGCATCCCGGCCCCGATTGAGGAAGCCACCGGCCAACCCTCAGCTCCGAGCCTCCGGCGCGTGGCCTGCGCACATCTCCTGTGGAGAGCGGGCAGCCCACCACCAAGAGGGAGTGAGGGCCCGGGGATCGCAGCCCGCTGCATTCCTCCCAGCAGACTTGAGTTCCCGCTCAGCCACAGCGCAGGGGTGGGCGTGCTGGGAGGGGCTCTGACCCTTGCAGTCACCTCCGCGGCTCGCACAGGACAGAACATGTGCACACAGGCAGGGCTGCCGCCCCCACTCCTGTTTTCCACAAACCCCACTTTGGAAATGTCATTTCCGTAAAGGGGTCTGTAAGAGCCGCGGGATTTCGGATGCCGGGTCCTATGATATAACCTGCAAATATCTATGGCTCAGACTGGTCTCCTCACTTGACAACGGGCACCCCTAGAGCTCCCAACTGCTCGTGGTGGGTCCATGGAGCAGACAAGTGCTGACGTGGAACAGATGCTGAGCACCTCGGCCCATGTCCTGGTGGGCTGGTAGAAGGGTCAGAGCTCATGGCCACACCAGGCCAAGGGCACCAGTGGAGGCAGCGTGCACCCGAGGGCCGGCCGGACCCCAGAAGGCTTCAAAAGGAATGGAGAGGCTCCTTCGAGAGTGTGAGTTCGCCTTTCTCCCCCTCGAGGGCTCTGAGTCTTACCTTAGACAAAAATGCAGTCAACTCAGCACACAGCGGGGCAAGAGCATTGCTCAGAAAGCCGTCACTTTCAGAAGGGTCCTCCACCCTGCACCTCGGGCCCCGGGGAGCCGAGAGGCATGGGGTTCCCTGCCTGACCCACCCTCCACCACCATCCCAGCATACAGGGACCGGAGGGATGCGGCTCCTACGCCGGCCCCTGGCCCCCCAGTCAGAGCGACGGCACTGGGACCCCAAGCTGTAGCCTCATTTGCCAGCAGCAGGTCAGGGGACAGGCATGGGCCCAGGGGCCAAGGGCAACTTGACCCCATGGTGACTAACCCCGGACTCTGCAAGCCCAGCTCCCCTGCCCCTTCACCCCCTACTGACAGGCCCGGGGCTCTCCCTCGCCTGGTGGGAGGGGCTGCTCACCTGCACCGCTCCTCCTGAAGAAACTCCAGAGACACCTGCAGCGACTCAAGGTGGCACTCCTTCAGGCTCTTGTAGGCCACCTGGAGGCCACGGTGGAACTCCTTGGCATCTCTCAGCTCTTGGTTCATCTTCTGCAACCAGGTTGTGTGCTCTGGCACCAAGGAGGTGCCCGGCTGCCAAGCCAGGGAATGAGGCTCCAGCAGGACGCGTCTGACAATGTCAGACAGGTCGGGTGGGGGGGGCTCCCAGGAGTGCAGGCTGCTTTCCGCCCTCAGCACGAAGCCCTTGGGCCTGCAGCCCTGCTTCAGCTCCTGGAGCAGCTGGTGACATAGGCGGAGCCGATGCGCATCCTGGGCGAGGGCAGCAGAGGCATGCTGGTTCACCTTCTTGAAGACCTGCCGAGTGTGGGGGGGACTGATGCTGGCCAGCTTTGGGCACCTGCTTGAGGGAGCACACACTGTTCTCGGCCCGGCTGGCCTTCTCCACCCGAAGCTGCTCAGAAAGGTACTGGAGGCGGTGCTTGATGCTGGCCTGTAAGTTCCAGGCCGGCTCCCTGTCGGAGAGGCTGGAGTGGCTTCTGGCACCATCCTCACTGGGCGCCAGGGACTGGCTTGAGGGCACACTGGAGGGGAGAGTTGCGCTTGGGCTCTTGGTGTATTCTGCCTGCATTGGGAAACAAGGCAATATCCAATGGGTCCTTCGGTGAGCTGCTAATGGTGGACGTGGCCAGGTCATTGCTTCAGGCTATAAAAATATACCCACTTGCAAGATCTATGCATTCAAGATGGGCCCCGCACAGACTGGGCCAGTGGCACTCCCTTCCCTCGCCCCTCCTTTCAGCCCTGTGACCCCCAGAAGGTTCACAGCCCCCCACCACACCAGCCCTGTCTGTTCCTGGACTCCTATAGGACTCCTTTCGTAAAGAACTGTTCTGGTAAAGTACAGAACAAACTTGTTCCCATGAACCCATGGGCTTGCTGTATCCTGACTCCCAAGCAGGAAGAGGAGGTAGACAGGGAGGTCAGTGTCCCCATAGTTCGTCCTCATCTAGTCATTCATTCAATACACGTTTCCTGAGCACCCCCAAGCAGTGGCGGAGTCAGACACATTCTGTGCTCAGAGAGCTGAACTTTCAGGGTAGAAAATCCTATTGTAGCACAAACAAATGAGTCTGACATGGAGAGGCAGAGGCACAAACACGAACGACTCACAGACCTCAAGTCCCAGCTTTAGCAGATCATCGCCACCTGCCACAGGCTGCTAGGGGCCAGGACGCCCTGTAGTCCCCAGTCCCCTTCCTGTGGAGGGATCCCCCGGGTAGGGGCCCTTACCCCTGGCTCTTCCCGAGCGCCAGTAAAACTGTATGGCCCAAGAGGGAAAAATTCCTCTAATTGCCATGCCAGAGGGAGAAGGCAGAATGAGGCAGCAGGATGGTTTTAAGAGATAATTACTAAGAATAGTCCAAAGTGATGAGAGACACAAATCCACAAATTCAGGAAGCCTGGTAAGTCCCAAACAGGAAAGTCAGAAGTAGATCCACATCTAGACATAAGGTCTTGAAAGCAGCCAGAGGGGAAAAGCGAATTACCTTTAAAGCCATGACTTTTAGAATGAAAGCTGACTTCTAAAGGTGTCCATGACATCCAGAAAATAGTGGAATGCTAGCTTCAGCATGCCACAAGAACAACTATCAGAGAGAAAAAAAAGAGTTCGCGTTAAAAAAAATCAGAAGTCAGATGTCTTCAGACTTTTCAACAACAGCACTGGGATCTAGAAAACAAAAGAAATAATGCCTTGAAATTCCAAGGGAGGGCCTCCCTGGTGGCCTAGGGGTTAAGACTCAGCGCTATCACCACTGTGGCCTGAATTCAATCCCCGGCCAGGGCTCTGACCCATAGGGCACAGCAGACCTCTCCTGTCTCCCGCTGCTCCCCTCAGCAGTGGATCTCAGTGAATCCGCCTCTTCTGCTCCCCGCTCTATCTCTGGGGACTCCTCTCACCAGCTCCCGCACCTCTGGTCTGCACCCCAGTTCTTGTATGCATAAATAAATAATAAAATCTTTTTAAAAATTAAAATATAAAAAGGCTCTGGGAGAGGGTGCTCTAAGAGGGCAAACGGATGTGTTTCAATGTCTCACGCAAGACGCAGAGACACAGACATTGGGGTAGGACGTGCCTATTGTAAGCAGCTGAGAACATCAGGGGTTGTGGGGGAAAAAGAGTGTTAACTTCAAGGAAAACAAAACATTGGGGAGACAGGAAAGGAGTCAGAAAGTCAACTAGTTCTTTCCATGGACTTGATAATGACTGAAACCAAATCGCTGCACACCACACTGGCAGGATGGGGGGGGGCAGTAAAAGACCTACATCTTTTTTTTAAAAAAAAAAGATTTATTTATCTATTTACACAAGCACTGGGTACAGTCAGAAGCGCGGAAGGGTGAGAGAATTCACCAGAGCCAGAGCGGGGAACAGAACAGGCAGATGGACCGAAATACACTGCTGAGGGGAGCAGCGGGCGCAGCAGGAGAGGTCTGCGCGCCATGTGGGACCCTTGCCAGCAGCCAGGGATCGAACCGGTGCTGCAGAGGCTGTGGGCAGCCTCGCAGCCCAGTGCTCAACCACTGTACCACCGGGGGAGGCCCAAAGACCTACATCTTTTATAGTGAAGCCAACACTTTCTAAAATATGAAAAACAAAGAAATGGTACTGTAAACAACTGATTCAGAGAACTGGAAGTAAAAGCCAAAAATAAAAAATAAATAACCAGGTAAAAGGATTGAAAATGGCTGATTCTGGGGAGTAAATGATTGGCGCATAGACACGGGGGGATGTCATTTTTTGCAATAAGCCTTGTAACAGCAGCTAAGCCCTGACCTGGCTTTGTATAGGTGAGGTCAGGGTGATTTTTACATTTTGAAATGGTTGAAAAAGACAAAAAGAAAAGATGGTTTCATGACATATGGAAATGATAGGAGATTCCAATCTCTGTGTCTATAAATAAAACTTGATTGGTACTGCCACCTGCATTCATTCACCTATTGTCTATGGCGGGTTTGGTGCCGCCACAGCGGCCAAGCTGAGCAGCTGCAACAGAGGTCAAGTGGTCTCAAAGATTTCCCCTCTGGTCCTTCACAGAAAAAGCTTACTGGCCTCTGCTTTAAACTTTTAAAAGGTATGTTTGTACATATAGTGACAAATGGACTAAATTGTTTGAAAAGGAAGTAGGAAAGAGGGACATTGAAAGTTGCTAATGACTCATTTGTTCTATTACAGAAGATAGAGGAAGAATTGGTGGTGAAAAAAATTAAAAGCAACCATTAGAAAAATGTCAGGCACATTACATCCAAAGAACAAAGGGGAGATAAAAAGTAGAACTTGATTAATCAAAAATTTTTAAAAGGGTTGACAAAACAAAGGGACAGACAGAAACCATTAAATAGGATGCCAGTAAAATCCGATTATCAATTATCCCTGTTCTAGAGGAGAGTCAGCACTGTGGCGAGTCAGTCCCCTGCATAGTAACAGGTAAGTTCAACGAAATCCCAATTAAAAAACCAACAGAAATGTCTCATGAATCTTAAATTAGCTGATTCCAGAGTTTATTTGGAAGAAAAATGCAAAATATCTAAGAACAATTTGAAAAAGAATAATAAATTTGATCCAGAACAAGCAGCTGTTTGTTAAAAAATTAAGTTAGAACACTACCTTACCTTACATCATCAACTGTAGTCAAATTGAGGCAATACAGAACTAAGCATAAAAATGAAACTATAAAAGCATGAAGAGCACATATACTAGGCACATTTTCAAAATAGTATTTCTGTGAAAACGTTGCTAACCCAGGCGAAACTACAGTGCCGTAAAGGAAGAGACCTACATACACACTAAAAATGTTTAATCTTTTTAAAAAAGATTTATTTATTTATGCATACAAGAGCTGGGGTACAGGCCAGAGGTGTGTGTGTGGGGGGCGGTGGTGAGAGGACTCACCAAAGACAGAGCGGGGAACAGAACAGGCAGGACGAAGTACACTGCTGAGGGGAGCAGCGGGGAGACAGGAGAGGTCTGCTGCGCCCTGTGGGTCACCTCCCTGGCCGGGGATCGAACTCGTGCTGCAGTGGCTACGGACAGCTTCACAGTGCTGAGCTTGCAACCCCTTGCGACACCAGGGAGGCCCAAAAATGTTTAATCTTCTTGTGGAGGTAATCAGGTTAATAAGTGACTTTCAGATTTGGGTGCAAGGGATTGCTTCTGCTTAAAAAGCAAAGCATCGCCAATAACATTTTTTTAAAAGCCACAGGATGAGAAAAGCACATTTGCAATGTGTCTGATAGATCAAGGGCTACTCGAGGTAATATACAAAGACATCCTGCAGATCAGGAAGGTCACAAACAGATCCGCTCTACTAAGGCGAAGGACAGCCGTGGACAGCCCAGAGAGGACACGGCTCAAAGGGCACCGAACGTTGGAAAAGGCGCGAGTGGGGGAAAGTCCTAACCGGAGCAAAGCTGTCGCGATCTCGCAGCCTCAGAAAGCGCCTTCACCATGCGGGCGACCGGCGCATGGATGAGGACGAGGGGTGTGGGCTGGGGGAGAGGGTTGATGGGCCATCGGCGAAATCAGTGACTCACGACAACGCACGTACCCCGGCACTTGGTAGGAAGGTGGGAGCTTAGCAGTCGGGGACAACTGGGGGATGTGTGGGGGGAAGCCTGGCACCCCACTCTGGCGCCCCAGCTGTGAAACCCAGGGAGCGCAAGGCCCAGCGCATCCACCCCCGCGGGCTGAGGAGGGCGCGCAGTGGGCCAGGCAGCGGGAGCACGAGCGTCAGGCGCCCCCGTGAAGTCGCGCTCACGTCCCCTAACACCGCCTCAGCGGTTGCGCGAGACTTGCCCGGCACAGAAGGTTCTAGAAGCGAGAACAGTCGGCTCAGTGATGCTATGCGGTCTCGCTACCATGAGCTTCCTCCACGGAGAAGCCCACTGTGGCGGGGGGCGGGCTCGCGGGGGCGGGCCGGGTGATCAGACCGAGAATTCTGGCGCTACTTCACCCTACGACGCCCTAAGGCGAAATCAGCTACTCCCTGACCCGCGCGCTCGGCTCGGGAGACACCGCCCGTCGGACAGAGACGCGCGCGCGCGCGCGGAGAGAGCCGGGGGCGCAGGGTGTGCTGCGGCCGCCGCGTGGGCGCGGAGGGAGCGGCGCATGCGCAGAGTCCTCGTGGGGGGACGTCGCCGACCGCCCGCGCGCAGTTGCGGTGCCGACGCCGACCGGGCTGCCGCGATGGCCGACTCTGAGGGGAGTGTGGCTCTGGCCGAGGCCGCCAAGCCGGACGCGAGGACGGTGCAGGTGCTGCGGGACCTGGCCAACCGCCTGCGCATCCGCGCCATCCGGGCCACGTGTGCCTTGAGCTTCGGGTGAGCGCTCGGCGAGTCCCGGGCCGGGCCGCCCCTCCAAGCCCCTCTCCGCCAGCCGGGGCCCAGGGGCGCGTGGAGCGGGACCCGAAAACCAGGGTGCGGCGTGGGGAAGAAACCGCGCCCGAGAGAAACGACACGGCGGGCGTGGGTCTTGCGTTGGGCGCTGTTCCCTTCCGCAGCCGCGTGTCCGCTCGGGCTGTTGGGCCCGCGCGCCCTTCTGCTCGGGAGAGTCGGCGCTCTGGGGCGCTTCTGCGGGGCTCGCGGGGGGCTCAGGGTCTTTTGTTGGGGCGTTTTGGAGCTTGTTCGGTGGCGGGTTTGTTGTATTTCTGTTTTTTTCGAGAGCGTCGCCTTGGGTGGTTTGTTTCCAGAACGTTCTTCCAGGTTGCAGATTCAGTGGCGAACAGTTGTATCCGCGCCACAGTCGTTTTGCTTCTGTAGAACCCGTGGTGGCGTCGCCCCTACTTTCAAAATGAAAGTGATTTCAAATCTGGCTTAATAATTTCCTTCTCCTCTTAAATTTAATCCAGCTCAACGTTGGTTCATCCTTTCAAAGAACCGGCTTTGGTTCACTTTATTATTCTAGTGTCTGTTTTGGCTCTCATTTTTGTCTGCTGGCTTCTGGCTTAGGTCGTTCTGTAATGTGTCGGTGGTTGAGTTAGGTGTTTGACCTGAGAGTGTCCCTTTTTGAGGAAAGGGTTTACCAGCTGTTCGTTCCCTCCGGCACTGGTTTTTCTGCATCCCGTAACTTTTGGTATGTTGTCTTTTCCTTTCCAAGCATTGTCCACTTGAATTTCTCCTGTGATTTCATCTTTGACCCATTGATTGTTTAAGCGTGTTTTGCTTAATTTCCACGAATGTGGGTTTTCGTTAGGGGTTTTTAGTTGCATTCCATTGTCATCTGGCAAAGTACTTTGCCTGATAGGTCTTCAATCTTGTCCTCCAACCTGAGCTGGGACAATAAAGGACAGTGCAAGTGAGTTTAAAATGTGCAGTTTTGGACTTTCTAACACTTTCATTCTGCTCCATTCACCTTCAAAATCAATAACAGTTTACATTTTCTCAAGGGATCTAACAGTTTAGCCCCAGTCCATCCTCTTAAAGGATACTCGGCCAGGCAAGAGTTTGGTCTCAATTTTGCGTACTGTGAAACTTTGTAAAAGGACATTATTTATACCACGAGCCAGACCGAAAACCTTAATTTTCTAGTAATTGTGGTGCGATGCTGCAGAGGTGCTTTAGTGTCCCGCCCTGTCCTCTCTGCACTTAATGGTTAGACCCCCATGCAGGCCTTCTGCATTTCGGCATTCACTTACTGCACCATGAGAAATGACTTAGTCTCACCGTTCACTTCTGTTTTTTTTTTTTTTAAACATTTCTTTCTTTATTTTTTTTTTAAGATTTTTATTTATTTATTTACTTATACAAGCACTGGGTACAGTCAGAAGCGCGGGAGGGTGAGAGAATTCACCAGAACCAGAGCGGGGAGCAGAGCAGGCAGAAGGACCGAAGCACACTGCTGAGGGGAGCAGCAGGCACGGCAGGAGAGGTCTGCGCGCCATGTGGGACCCTCACCCGGTGGCCGGAGATCGAACCGGAGCTGCAGAGGCTGTGGGCAGCTTCGCAACCCAGCGCTCAACCGCTGCGCCACTGGGGAGGCCCTTACCGTTCACTTCTTAAAAGAAACTGGCTTTAGAATGGGATCTTTGTGCTTTTTTTTTTTTATCCAGATTGAAATATAATTGGCATACAATGCTATGTAAGTTTAAGGCATACAATGTGATTTGCCTCCATGTTTTGTAGAATAATTACCACAGGAAGTTTAGTTCTGCATTCTATAGATACCAGAAGAAAAACTTATTTTCCTTGTGATGAAAATTCTTAGCATCTAATACTTAGCTTTTGGATGTACCAGAACGGGATCTATTGTTGTACATCACATGCTGAGTATTTTCAACTGGATGTTTCTACCTTTTAACCGCCTTCCTTTAATTCCTCTCCCCCATTCCAACCTCTCATAACAACAAATCTCATTCTCTCTTTCTATGACTTTAATTTTCTTCAGATTGCACATGTAAGAAATACAAATATTCTTATTTATATGATTTGTTTCACTTAGCATAGTTCGTCCATGTGGTATTGGCAGGGTTTTCTCCATTTTATGATTCAACAATCCATTGCACATATGTATCACATCTTTTTTTTAAATTTTTTTTAAAGATTTATTTATGTATACAAGCACTGGGTACAGTCAGAAGCGCGGGAGTGTGAGAGAATTCACCAGAGCCAGAGCGGGGAGCAGAACAGGCAGACTGAAATACACTGCTGAGGGGAGCAGCGGGCAAGACAGGAGAGGTCTGCGCGCCATGTGGGACCCTTGCCAGCGGCCGGGGATCGAACTGACGCTGCAGAGGCTGCGGGCAGCTTCACAGCCCAGCGCTCCACCGCTGCACCACCAGGGGAGGCCCATGTATCACATCTTTTTGCATTCATCCATTTTTAGAAAACACATCTCCTCCATGTTCAGATGTGGTCCAGACACAGAATTACTGATCACGTGGTAGGTAGTTCTGTTATTTTTAAATATTTTTAACATGCATACTGTTTTGCAGATTGAATGCACCAATTTGCATTCCCAGCAACAGTACACAAGGGTTCCCTTTTGTCTACATTCTCTCTAGGGTTTATCTCATCTTTTTCATAATAACTATTTGTAACAGGTGTGAAGTGATATTGTGGTTTTGATTTGCAAATCCCTAAAGAGAGTGATTTTGTGTACTTGTTGGTCATTCGTGTATTTTTTTTTAATGTCTTTTTTTTTTTAAGGCATGTTTTTATTTATTTATTTGTTTGTTTGTTTTGTTTATACATGCACTGGGTACAGTCAGAAGTGCGGGAGGGTGAGAGAATTCACCAGAGCCAGAGCGGGGAGCAGAGCAGGCAGAAGGACTGAAGTACACTGCTGAGGGAGCAGTGGGCGGCAGGAGAGGTGTGCGCGCCATGTGGGACCCTCCTCTGGTGGCCGGAGAGCAGCCGGGGATTGAACCAGCGCCGCAGAGGCTGTGGGCAGCTTCGCAACCCAGCGCTCAACCGCTGCGCCACCGGGGAGGCCCTCGTGTATTTTTTTTTAAGAAAGTAGATACTTTGATTAATTTTTTTAATTTATGCATGCATACAAGAAGGGGGGGTGCAGGCCAGAGGTGCAGGGGGTGAGAGGATTCACCAGAGCAGGGAGCAGAACAGGCAGACTGACTGAAATACACTGCTGAGGGGAGCAGCAGGAGACAGGAGAGGTCTGCTGCGCCATGTGGGCCAGCTCCCTGGCCGGGGATGGAACTCATGCCATAGTGGCTGGCTATAGCTTGATAGTACTGAGACTTTAACCCCTGTGCCACCAGGGAGGCCCATATATCTTGTTTGTAAAAAAGTCTTCAGGCTCCCCCCCCGCCCCGCCCGCCCTTTTGATTGGATTATTGGGGAGAGTGTCACTGAGTTGTATGAGTTCTTCGTATGTTTTAGATACTAATCCCTTTTTAGGTACATAGCTTGGAATTTTTTCCCCATTCTGTTTGAAAATGTCTTTCCATTGTTTTGTTTTTGTGTTGTGCAGAAGTGTTTTGGTTTGATGTAGTCCCACTTATTTTTTGTTTTGCTGCTTGTCCATTTTGTGCCATACCCAAAAAGTTGTTGCCAAGACCCAAGTCAGTCAAAAAGTGTTCTCCCATGTTTTTTTCTAGTTTAATGGTCTCCAGTCTCACATTTAAGTCTATTCCCCATACTGAGTTAATTTTTGTGAGCCGTGTAGGATAGGGAACTATGTTCTGTTTGTTTGCTTTTTAACATGGGTATATCTGATTTCTTTGCCCTCATTTATTGACTAGACTTTGAGTATATTTTTATTTCCTTTAAGGAAAATTTACTTTTAATGTAATTACGCTAGTAAATGTATTTAAACGTGTTAGTTCAAATGGTACCCTGATTTGGTTGCAATGTGGACATTGAACTAAGATTTTGTAAGAAAATCCTTGCGCCTATAAGCTATATTCATTTTTCAGTGTATGTGGCCTCATTTTTTTGGTTACACTTTTTAACACGGTGAGATGTTTAATACCAAGATCCATCAGCAACTTCATATTTGCATTCTTACGTATACATGAAGCTTCCACCGACATTTCTTAAGCTCATACGTAACATACACTTTAATATAAGTGTGTTAGTTTTTCACTTTCAAGGGCTGTATATATTGATATCTTTTTGAGTTAGGGTTTTCATAGTCTTTGGTTAAATACTCTGAAGTGGAATACAGCAGTGTCATCTGGTATCTCTTCTTGTTTTTAATATTTTATATAATTCTTACATCATTTCATTTTTGCACAATGTATGCATTTTCATTTTGGTTATAGTCCCCATACGATTGCACCCGGTATCTCTGTTCTTAACTTTCGAAGAAACCTGTGTTCATTAGTGCTTTCATGCCAGCACCCAGAGGCAGAATTGCTGGGCTGAATGGGGGTTCTAGTCCTGAGGAGCCTCCATATACCTTCCTATACAGCACGCAAGGTTTACTTTTCTCTGTATCCTTGCCGACACTTGTTTTCTTGTGATTTTTGTTACAGCCATTCTGTCAAGTGTGCAATGATACTTCATTGTTTTGATTTGCATTGTGAAAAACATTCTTTTACATATCTGTTGGCCACTTGTGATGCCTTCTTTTGTGAAAGTCTCTGTTTAGAGCCTCTGGATTGTACAGGGTTGTTTGTTTTTAGTTGTATGAGTTTATTTTGGATATTGACCCCTGTCTGTTATGTAATTTGCCAATTTCTTCAGTTCTGTAGGTTGCATTTTCTTTGTAAAGCATTTATCTTGTTAGCCTTTTGCTGTTCTTTTAGTATGATGCCTTTTAGTTTGATGGTAGTTGCATTTATATTGGCTTGCGTGAGAGATATAAGATAGTGCTCGTTTCATTGTTTTACATGTACTTGTTCACTTTTTCTAGCAGCATTTATTTATCAGACAAATTTTCCTTTCTCCATTGTATTCTCTCCTTTGTCATAAATTAGTTTTCTGTGTGAGAGTTTATTTCCGGCTCTCAGTTCTGTTCCATTGATCAGTGTGTCTGTTGTTATTTTAATACCATACTGTTTTGATTACTGTAACTTTTTAGTATAGTTTGAAGTCGGGGAGCATGATACCTTTGTTTCATTATTTTTGTTTCCCAGAATTTCTTTAGCTATTCACGTTTTTGTGGCCATATGCATTTTAGGATTTTTTTTTTTTCTCTGAGGAATGCTACTGGGATTTTGATAGTGATTGCATTGAGTCTTTAGGTTCCTTTTGCTAAAATAGCCATTTTTACACATTAATTTTTCCAACCCAAGAGCATGAGATAGCTTTTCATTTCTCCTACAGAGACAGGTCTTCTGGGGGAGTAAGGTTTCATCATCTTAAGTCAGTTATGGCCAAGCTGTGTTTATTCTGTTTTCTGGTAGGTTTTCTATAGTTGTTTTGATGCACGACCACCCCTGTCCAGTGGACTGTCTCCACCATCATTCACCCATACTCTCAGGACATAAAATCTTAGAAAATCTGATTCCCTAAATCTCTGGAACCAAGGTGGCCATTCATATTGTTCCAACTTCCATTGAGCCTTAACCCTCTTGTCAAATGATGGTTGACCTCATATGCATTGGTTTATTTTTGTTTTGTGGCATTTCTGATAAATGACAGCACAAATGAGGAGATGCTTACATCAGGTGAGTTTGACCTAAGTGTACAGGTGCTCAATGATGAAAGGTCTTAGAGGTCTTGTTCTTTCTCTCCGCTGGGGGAAAGGTGGTGAGGTCACTGAGCTGCAAATATCCTTAGAAACAGTGAGCTTGAGAGACACTGACCTTGCTTCCCTTTCCCTTAGTTGGATTTTTCCAGGCCTGAGAGAATTGATTGCTGCTTCCAGTCTGAGGCAACCACGTGCTGAAAGGTTGCCTCATGCGCCACGTTCCTGGTGAGTTCACTTGCCTGTGAGAAATGACCTAACCTTGTCTACGTTTCAGCCACCCCACGTCATGCAGCAGTGCTGCTGAGATCATGTCGGTGCTGTTCTTTCATGTCATGAAGTACAAACAGGGGGACCCGGAGAACCCCAACAATGACCGATTCATCCTCTCCAAGGTAAGGCAGCAAGGGCTGCTCAGTTGCTTGCTTCTTAAACGGATTTAAACTCCATTGTCTGCCTTAGAGTGATAGAGGTTTTCTTCAGCAGTAGCTGCCAGGGCACTTTTCTAGCCACCAGAATGTGTGTGTGCATCAGATTTAGGCCGCAGCAGAAATTGAGAAAGAGAACATACAGGAGCGTAGGCCTTGGCCTTGTCCGGGGGTGGGGTCAGTGGGTGCTCTACAGCTAGGAGAGCCAGGGCCTCCATGATTGGCGTGCCCGGGGTGGGGGTGTCCATTGCAGACAGCTACTGCGGGAGGCCTCCTGCCAAGGCCTGGAGCTGTTACTGTCAGGTGCTTGGATGCCCTTAGAGGGGTCATGGTGCGGGAGGCTTGCAGGGTGGGGGTCACAAGGTCCCACCCTGGGTGGGTCCTTGTGACCCCCACCCTGCCCAGGCCTTTGTTTTCGTTTTATCTGGTATTTTGTTTTCTACGGCCAAGCAGGCCTGGGAAGTAACCAAAAGGCTTTTTTGTAAACATGCTCTTTGTGCTGGAACAATGATGAGAAGTAACACGTGAAAGAGAAGAGCTTTTTTTGGTGCCTGTAGCACCTTGTGCGCATCTTTTTTTCTCTTGTACACACCTTTATTCTACCTTTCCTTGGTCCCTCTCAACCATGAACACCTCCCTTGCGGCATAAGGGTTCTTGAGGAATGGAAGAGAACCCACGTGGGCCTCCTTGGTGGCGCAGCGGTTGAGCGCTGGGCCGCGAAGCTGCCCGCAGCTTCTGCAGCCCCTGTTCGAACCCTGGCTACCAGCAAGGGTCCCACATGGCGCGCAGACTTCTGCTGTGCCTGCTGCTCCCCTCAGCAGTGTACTTCATCAGTCTGCCTGTTCTGCTCTCCGCTCTGGCTCTGGTGAATTCTCTCACCCTCCCGCACTTCTGACTGCACCCAGTGCTTGTATAAATAAATAAATAAATAAATCTTTTGAAAAAAAGAAGAAGAGAACCCACACTGGGGGGACACTTCAGCCATGCCAGGCACCGTCCTTGTTCCTGGCCAGTCTTCTCAGTTCTACAGCCTCCTGCCACCTGAGGAGGATTCGCCATCATACCTGTAAAGTGAGGCCCTGAGAAGGTGGGTTCACTTACCCTCCATTTGAAAGCTGTGGGGGAGGCAGAGCTGGTCAGACTACAGAACCCAGGCTAGACCCAAAGACATGTAAGGCAACCAGGAGCCAGCGCTTGTTGTGGGAGTAAGGTTGGGGTGTGGGGTAGAACCAGAGGTCAGAAATTTAAGTGAGATAGCTCTGCTGGGCTAGAAGCCACGGTGCCCTGAGTGGTGGGAGGTAAAGTAGGGAGTGAGCAGGGGCCAGAGTGAGCAGGACAGTGCAAGAACTCGGGCTGTATTTGGCACTAGAAGTGAGATCTTGGGCAGCTGATAGCTGAGCCAGCATGAACCTCTGTAAGTTGTAAGAGGCTCCCCCCTGGGAGCTGTGTTGAGGATGATTAGGGAGCAGGGAGACGTGGTAATGAGGGTGGTGAGAGATGTTCAATGTCTTTGCAAGCTTTAACGTGGGCCCTCAGCATGGCAGCCCTTCGGTGTGCTGCCGTGTGGCCCTCACAAAGCCAGGGTCTCTCCATGGACCTGTGCAAACCTGTGCAGCAACAGGGTGGGGGGATTGATTCCTTTCTGGCATCGGCACTTCTGAACTCTCACTTGGCCTGATTTTAACACACCAGGGAAGTCGTAGTCTTCATCTGTGTTTCCATCTAAGAACCCATATTCGCTCACAAAGTCAAACTCTTGGTTTGTGTATGGCTGGATAAAAGGCTTTCTGAAACGGCAGGGTTCACGCTTATGTTCTCTGCACTGCTCTTAGGCTTTGTGTAGACTGCCATCTAGGGAAGCCGTTCTTCGGCTCCTAAATCTCCAGTTACCCTGGCCGCTGGCCCTTCTGCTGTGGCACAGGGGATTCCTCGGGCTTCCCCGTCTTTGGGATGCTGATCCGAGACTTGGGTGTGCGCAGGTGTGGTGAAGAGGAACCCCCCCTAGTAGGGGCGGGCGGGCCTTCCCAAAGAACAGTGTGCACCCAGTGTCCTGCAGGCGAGCCAAGTTCATCCGCTTTCTTCTCTTACAGAGACTGTCGTTCATTGATGTGGCCACTGGCTGGTTTGGCCAAGGGCTGGGTGCTGCGTGTGGCATGGCCTATACCGGCAAGTACTTTGACAAGGCAAGGTAAGCTGCATACCGGGGAGTCACTTCATCACCCTCACCACCACCCGGCCCCACCCCCGGTACTTTGGGGCAACACTGATGGCTGGGTGTAGCACCAGTGCTCCAGCAGTAAAGAGATCAGAAAGCATCCTAGCGTGTGTGCACCCTGCTGGGGCGATGGTGGGGTGGGCAGGCTGGCCATGGTGGGGTACCTCTTGCAGTCCCATGACTTCGCGGGTGCCTGAGTCAGGCGCCCCTCGCCTCCCGCCCACCTGCTGCTAACACGCTCAGGCCCCTTCATGCCCTGTAAGCGTGATGACGTTTTCCATCTGCTGTTGGCTCTTTTGGTTTGTGTCCTGCGATTAATAACATTTTCTCAAACTTGAGTTACAGCATTCCTACAAGGTCTGGGCTGTGTTTTATTGGTATAAACACTTCATATTTCTGCTGCGGAGGAGTTTACTGTTTACAATTGAACATATGCTCCTGAGGTAGAATGTTTTGATGGTTATGATTATTGTAAATAAATTTGTAAGATTGGAAATAGGAGGTGGCAGAGCTCACATTGGAGCCTGCCGAGAAACGGCGTGTGGATGTTTGGGTGTTTAAAGGGAGCTGCTTCCTCCCAGTCTCTTCTTCCCCTCCTGTTGGTGGAGCTGCAGAAGTGGCAGTAGAACCTAGAAATGCCTTTTACAGCTAGAACCAGGACGCTAGCCAAAGGCGAGGCCCAAGCTTTTAAAAGTGGCACTTCCCCAGCTGTGGCGTTTGGGTCGCTCAGGAACCTGGCGAGTCCAGCAGCTGCTTCAGCCTGGTGTTTCTCTTCAGAAACTGCATTTGTCCAAGGGCCCAGAGGAACCCCTGCCAGGGTCCTAACCCACCTTGCCTTGCTTCAGCTACCGGGTGTTCTGTCTCATGGGAGATGGCGAGTCCTCCGAAGGCGCCGTCTGGGAGGCACTGGCTTTCGCTTCCCACTACAGTCTGGACAATCTCGTGGCTATCTTCGATGTGAATCGCCTGGGCCACAGTGGCGCCTTGCCCCTCGAGAACTGCATCGAGGTCTATCAGAAGCGCTGCGAAGCCTTTGGGTAACTGCCCTCTGTTGTGTCACCTACTTTATGTTCCCTTTCTCCTTCATTTTGTAACCTGGCACCGCCTCCTGTGGCAGGTGGAATACTTATGTGGTGGATGGCCGTGATGTGGAGGCGCTGTGCCAGGTGTTCTGGCAGGCGACACAAGTGAAGAACAAGCCCACTGCGGTGGTGGCCAAGACCTTCAAGGGCCGGGGCATTCCAAGTAAGCAAGTGTTCCTTTTACGTGTGGGATTGTTAGCAGCATCTGTGTGACAAGCGCGGTGGAAGCAGGCTAGGGCTCGTCAGACAACCAACTAGTCCCACCTGTGATGTGTGCTGGGCTCTCTCACTCTGCTTGACTCTTACTAGACAGCGTGTCTGCTTAGGGTTGGGGGGGACCCAGACCCTCCCAGCAAGTGAGCAGAAATTTTCTACCTGCAGAGGCAGTGTTAAGAAAGATAGTCCATTGGAAGCTGAGGGACACTCAGGGGGGTGAGGCTAGTGCATGAGTTGGTGCCCAGGGTGCATACCCGGGCAACTAGGAAAACAGTAGCTCTGGGAAAGGTGGCTGTGTAGACCAAGGGAGTGGGGGGGTTGGAAGTCTTAACATCTTGCAGACTTTAAGACTGACACCAAAAGTCGTTCGTCTCAAGTATAAATAGTTGCAAAGGATGTGTGTGGTTCTTGCTTTTTTCTCCTAGAAGAAAAGTGTTCTCTGACTCCTTGTCAAATAGTCTTTCTATGTTGAGTGCGTGGGAGTCAGACGCGCTACTATGGCACCACGAGGTCACGCCCAGTTGAGTAAATGATGACCCGTTTACTCCTGGCATGCCCATCCCATAATCAGTTCTAATTGGTTCTGCCCCTGAAGTACACCTCAGACCTCTTCTATCCATCTCTCCTGCTCCCCACCAAGGGCCCATCATTTCTCCCTAACTGCAGTGCTTCCCCCTGAACCAGTCTCCATATGGCTTCCAGGGGAATCTTTCTACACCATGGACATGATCAATCACCTCTCCCACCCCACACCCTTCATTGGTTTCCCATCTTGCTTTTGGACAAAACTCCAACACCTTATACCCATAGGATACTCCATAGTCCACCCTGCTTGTTTCTTCAGCCCCTCTTCCCTCACGCTCCCCTCCATTCATCAGCATGTGGGACAGTGGCCACTCAAGAGCCTCTGGGCCTTTGCCAGGCTGTCCCCTGGTGCTAAGTGCCAGGTGATCTGACAGGTGCTCATTGAATACACATGGACTGGATCGTCTGTTCATTGGTTGCAGGTGTTGAGGATGCAGAAAATTGGCATGGAAAGCCAATGCCAAAAGAGAGAGCAGATGCAATTATCAAATTAATTGAGAGCCAGATACAGACCAATAAGAGTCTCGAGCCAAAGTCTCCTATTGAAGACTCACCTCAAGTCAACATCGCGGATACAGAAATGCTCTCTCCACCTGCTTATGAAATCGGAGACAAGGTAGGCAGAGCCATGTAACAGAGTAAGTACAACCTTTGCTTTTCCTGTGTGCCCAGGACTCTTCATCTAGTCTGTTACCCACAGATGAACCCATTATAGAGGGGCGTGACATTTAAAGGTCATTCATAAGCAGTAGAGACGATTTCTTTTTCACTGTCTGATATCCTTCGATTTCATACTTCACTTACGTCTGAATTTTTTATGGGTTAGGTCAAATGCTACATTACATATTTGCTTGCTTCCTAAATATGCTTTGTGCCCTGTAGTTTACTTGCTGTGCATGAAAGCGCCATGGTTCTGTTTCTACGCAAAAGAGGGGGGCCCAGGGCCTCCCCTGGTGGCGCAGCAGTTGAGCGCAGCACTGTGAAGCTGTCCGCAGCCTCTGCAGCGCGGGTTCGATTCCTGGCCGGCCAGGGAGATTACCACATGGCGCGGCAGACCTCTCCTGCCGCGCCCCCTGCTCCCCTCAGCAGTGTATTTCTTCATCAGTCTGCCTGTTCTGCTCCCCGCTCTGGCTCTGGTGAATTCTCTCGCCCTCCCGTGCTTCTGACTGTACCCAGTGCTTGTATAAATTAATAATGAAAAATAAGTGTTTAAAAAAAATTATGAATTTTAGGGCCTTCCCGGTGGCACAGCAGGTTGAGCGCAGCACTGTGAAGCTGTCCTCAGCCTCTGCGGTGTGGGTTCAATTCCTGGCCGACCAGGGAGCTTCCCACATGGTGCGGCAGACCTCTCCTGTCTCCCCTCTGCTCCCCTCAGCAGTGCTTACAGTCTGTCTACCTGTTCTGCTCCCCACTCTGTGGTGAATCCTCTCACCCTCCCGTGTCTCTGGCCTGTACCCCAGCTCTTGTATAAACAAAAAATAAATCTTAAAAAAAAATTGTTAAAAAAAAGTATGAATTTTTTAAAAAGTTACACTAACAGGGCCTCCCCTGGTGGTGCAGCAGTTGAGCGCTGGGCTGCGAGGCTGCCCGTAGCCTCTGCAGCGCCGGTTCATTCTCCGGCCGGCGAGGGTCCCACAAAAACAAACAAAAAAAAAAGTTACACTAACAAGTATAAAGGTTGGCTCTGGCTTGCTGATACAGTCTTCAGGTAGATTAGCTAATAACTTACCTGCTTAAAGATAAAAACCATAAACGTATAAAATTAGTCATTAGATATGATAAACACACATGGAGAACATTCAGAGAATGGCAAATTGTATACAACTTCATGCTAATTGGCATGGAAATTTGTAAAAGAAAATGAACCATTTTTTTAGAAATACATAAAATATCAATATTGGCTTGAAAAATACAAAACTGGGGCCTTCCTGGTGGCTCAAGGGGTTGAGACGCAACACTGAAGCAATCTGCAGCCACTGCAGCACGAGTTCCATCCCCAGCCAAGGAGCTGACCCACATGGTGCGGCAGACCTCTCCTGTCTCGCCCGCTGCTCCCCTCAGCAGTGTATTTCAGTCAGTCTGGCTGTTCTGTTCCCCACTCTGTTTCTGGTGGATCCTTTCACCCCTGCACCTCTGGCCTCCACCCCAGTTCTTGTATGCATAAGTAAATAAAAAAACCCAAAAGTATCATTCCAATTCATCCATAAAACTGAGAATGTGGCAGAGCTAGTCCAAAGAAAAAGTACAGACTAACCTCACCTGCACATACCAGTATAAAAGTTGTAATTTGCCAGTTTCAAGTTGGTACATTAAAGAAATCCATGAATCAGTGGAGTACAAGTTGTAATGTACAGATGATTCATCAGTATTTGGAATATCATTTTGATACATGCTACACAAAAGCAGTTCATAAAATCCAACAGTCATTCCCATTTCGGTTTTTGTTTTGTTTCAGACCTCTTAGTAAAACATAATTGGACTGGTGAGATATTTCTTCAGTTTGATTCTAAATCTAACAATCTTAAACCTGGAGCGCCCCCCCCCTTTGTACAGTAAACATATTTTCATCTGACAGAATCAGCCCCGTTCTGGATGTGCTGGCCAATGTGGCTAAATGATGAAATACAGAACCAGTCCGTATAGGGGACTGCAAGCCTGTCATCACTGGCAGGTGATAGCATTGTGTCTGGAAAACCCAAGAGAATCATCCCGAAAAAGAATCCAGTAAAAGCTTGTAGTGAGACTAATGCACAGTTCACTCCTCTTCTAAATAAACAAAATGGACAGGTGGTCCCTTTTACAGTCACAAAACTAAAATAGCTAAAGTTCAGATATGCAGGGTCTTCATTAAGATGCTTAAAAAACTGTCCCCCTCAGTGACCTCATGCCTTGTACGTGAGCAGTGTTTTCCCAGGGGGCGCAACGCAAACCTGTGCTTCCTGTGCATCTCTGGGCTGGCAAGTGGGCGCATGGCAGGAAGATAACCTCTTCGTGCTATGTCCTGTATAATTTTTTACTTTGTGTCTACTTGAATTGCCTAATTTTTAAGAATATTTTTGAGCACTTTGATGAATGAAAGAAGGCAAATGAAGAGGCAAGCCTTGTTCTGTGTAACAATAGATGTGTTGAGATTTGAATCACTGTATAATCCACCTATTTAAAGTATGCAGTTAATAAGTTTCAACGCAGTGACAGAATTGTGGGGTCATCACTCTTGTACCACCCCAGAAGAAACCTTGTGCCTGGTAGAGTCCTGTCCCACTCCTACCCAGCCCCAGTAGCCAGCAAGCTTCACTCAGCCTCTGGATTGGCCTGTTCCAGACACTTCATGTAAGTGGGACCTTGAACGTAGACGCCTGTGTCCGGCCGACTTGGCACAGTTTTCTGGCCAGCCTGCGTGGCCTGTGCAGGGCTCCAGCTCTCAGGTGTGCCAGGCATGTTGTGTTTGCTGCCATCCATCGATGGGTGTTTGGGTTGTTCCTGTCTAAAGTTCTGCATTTTCATTTTTGCAGTGAGTATTTTCAATTTCATACTTAAAAAGTCAGAAACAGTGCATTTTGGGAATTAAAAGGTTTTAATTATCTGAATGGGACAGGGAATAAGTTTTTTTTTTTTTAGATTTATTTATTTATACAAGAGCCGGGGTACAGGCCAGATGCGCGGGAGGGTGTGAGGATTCACCAGAGACAGAGTGGGGGACAGAATAGGCAGACTAACGAAATACACTGCTGAGGGGAGCAGTGGGCGAGACAGGAGAGGTCTGCCGCGCAATGTGGGATTCTCGCTGGCTGGCTGGGATCAAACCTGCACTGCAGAGACTGCGGACAGCTTCACAGTGCAGTGCTCAACCGCCTGCGCCACCAGGGAGGCCCCAGGGAATAAATTATTGATAGATCACTACTTCATGGGTCACATACGGACTTCAGATTGGTGAGCAAGCCGTCTTCATGATTCTAAGGAAAATTATTGGTGAATCAGAAATTTGTTTGCCTCATTAATGAGGTAGTTCTGCGAGGTTTCTCGCCTTCCATCTTAACGCATCCTGAGACACTGTTTCTCTCTTCTAGATAGCGACTCGCAAAGCATGTGGATTGGCTCTGGCTAAGCTAGGTCACGCAAATGATAGAGTTACTGTGCTGGATGGTGACACCAAGAACTCCACCTTCTCTGAGCTGTTTAAGAAGGAGCACCCTGAGCGCTTCATCGAGTGCTTTGTTGCTGAGCAAAACATGGTGCGTACACTGTGTGTGGCCCCTCCAGTCTTCTCATTGACTCACAGTGGCCCCCCAGACATAGGAGGCCTGCTCTGCCTTAGTTTTTCTTTCCATTTATAAAGGCAAAGTACCTGAAGATGTCTCTGAGGAAACAGGTAGAAAGTAGGGCAGAGTGTGGTAGGTGGCCTCCAGAATTGCTGGTGGGAACATGGTAGACTGCCTGGCACCCTCTCCAGGTAGACTGAGAACGACAGGCTAAGGACTACAGCCATCTGATCCCAGCACTCCAGGCCTGAGGCATCCCGGGTTCCTAGTATGTCTAGATGACTTGCTCTTCCTACCCAAGTCTTACACCCAGAAGCCAGTAGGTCAGAAGGGCTACAAGGGACTGTGGGTTTTTTTTTCCATTGTATTGTGGGCCCAGTGTGTCGTACTTGTGCCAGTGTTACACCAGTTCCATCTTTAAGAGCACCAGTAGCTAGAGCTGTGGCCTTCGGTGATGCTAAGGCAGGAGTCTCTTACCACACACAACCCCTCTCAAGAGAAATAAGTTAATGCAAGTCAGCACCTTCATGTCTCAAACTGTGCCCATGCAGTGGGTGGTACATGTGTCTTCACATTGTGGAGGCTTAAAGCGGCACTGGCCTAAACACTGTGACCCAGTAGGTCTCATAACCACCAGAGATTTGGTTGGAATAAATAGTATTTACAAATTTATTTACAATTCTTAGAAATTAGTGGCCAGTTCTTCCAGTCAGAAAATTTTATACAGAATCCAAATTTTTGAATTTTTGTGAAAAAGGAACGACCTGGCTTTCCCTCCTGCAAGCTGGCTGGAGCTGAGCAGTGGGCGTCCACGGGCCTCCGCTGACCTGCTGGCGCATTCACAGCACTTCCCTGCCCTGTCAGTGTTGGGAGTGAAGCCCCTTCCCCCACCTTCTCTAAAGTAGGCTGTCACAGTTATAAGAGTACCTACACGGTTCTGTGGGGTTCTCTAGATTATTGCCGTTTTCAGTGGACGGGGAATCCATTTTCTGAATTAAGCTTCCTATCAAAAAAACTTGCTCCCCAACTTACTAGTTGCTTCAGTCAGCAGCCATATACTCTGCCACTGACGTCTTCTAGCAGCGGGAAGAACGCTAGTAAAGAAGTGGCCAGCAGGTGGCACAGGACCCTAGTGAAACAGGTGGCTGTGATAAGAGTGGGACTAGGGCTTTCTCTCCTTGGCAGCACAGGCTGGTCAGGTAGATGGCGGAGCCCCCAAATTTTTCCGTCTCTTCCCCAGAAGGCATGAGGGCGCTGAGCGAGCGGGCAGGGGAGAATGGGTGCAGGAGATTTGAGAAAGGCAGAGTGGGAAGTAGATCCTCAAGGGAAGCAAGATGGGCTTGCGTACCCCAGGCTTCCTCCTTGTGGGTTGGAAGGCACTGTTCGGAGGCACTGGCTTTGTTGTGGTGGTGAACGAGGCAGGGTGGGTAGGCGGAGTAGGGGTTGCCTGCAGCTATTTGCGCAGGGCTAAGTTGGGGCGTGGGGGAGAGGCCAGGGATGTTCTGACTCACCACCTTTGTGCTGCAGGTGAACGTGGCGCTGGGCTGTGCCGCCCGTGACCGCACTGTTGCTTTTGCTTGCTCCTTCGCTGCCTTTCTGACCCGAGCATTTGATCAGATCCAGACAGGAGCCATCTTGGGAAGCAACATCAACCTTGTCGGCTCCCACTGCGGGGCGTCCCTCGGTACGAGCTCTCGTTGCCCTCACCGTCGTGATGCTCCTCTGCAGACACACGTTAGCATGTGACTATGCAATTGCCAACCAAGTGTGTCCTTATTTGTGACTCTTAAAAAGCCGTATTATGTTCTGAAAGTTCCAGGTGCTCTGGCTAACTTTTGAGCACACCTCTTGGTTTTACTGTAACTCCCCAAGCTCTCAGCCATTGAGGAGGAGTTGTATGTCCTGAGCGCCGCTTAGCACGTTGAGCCACATCCTGGGTATGACCAGCGCCACGCAGAGCTAGAGTTCCTTTCTGCTCTCAGTGTGGTCTCCTTAAAGGCTCAGGGAAGACAGGCACCCCGGGCACAGGGAAGTGGGCAACGCAGCACACCAGGGTTCGGCCTGGGCCTAGCAGGTGGAATGGGAGGCCTCGAAGAGCTCTGCGCAGTGGAGCTATGCTGAGGAGGAGGCCCTCTGGCACACTAACCTGGACCAGGTAGACCAGAAGGAAGCCCCAGGAGGACCCTGGACAGGCAGGCCCTGAGAGTTAGCAGTGGGGTGGGTAGAAAACAGGGCGAGTCTGAGAGCCCAGGGTAAGAAGGCGACATTGCTAGCAGATGGAGGAGTCTGAAACTGCATGAGAAGCCGAAACAGTCTCTGATTCTCCCTCACTTCGGAAACATCAGGAAGTTTTCCCCTGAATGGGCAAAGTAAGGATTCAGGGAGATGAGGCCACTGGTGTGCCTCTCGTGAGGTAGGGCATCTGCTGTTAGAGTGCAGAGGTGTAGGGCAGAGAGTATGCCTCCAAGTCACCTTGAGGACCCCTAACAGAACTGAACTGAGGGCTTTCTGTGTGGGCCAGATGCAGCAGATAGAGCAGAGTGAGTCCTGTAGCGGGCCTTGAAGGGGCCCAGGGTCTGCCCAGGGCTGGGTGTCGTGCGAGTTTTAAAATTGGAATCAGCCAAGTGGAGAAGTAGCTCTAGACCTAGCCCATGTACATGGGTCAGAAACTCCCCAAATACAGCCTGAGTCCCCCTTAGCTAAAACAGCACCCCAGACACGCCCGGAAAGGATGTTAATGCCCTCCTCTTGAAAGGCTTTGAGGGACTGGCAAGAGCACCTGGATCTGTGAAGGGCAGAGCCTGAGAGGGGCCCTTGAGGAGACGAGGACAGGGCGGAGACCTAGTGGGGTTGCCTTGGCCATGGCGCTCAAGGTAAAAGTGGCAAGTGACATTGGACCAAGCGCCAGAGGTTGATGAGGGAGGGGCAGGGCTGGTGTTGACCTGAAGAGCCCAGTGGTGTCTCCAGGGAAGTAGACATGACTGCTCATGGTGACAGTGTTCTGTTCACAGATTTGAATGCTTTTAGGGGGCTCTGCTACAGTTGTGGGTACCCCTGGCAGTAAGAACTGCTCTGCAGCAGAGGGAAGGCTCCTAGTGGGCCATGCTCACGTCCAGGTTGTGCCTTGGCTTTCTCAGGTGAAGACGGCCCCTCCCAAATGGCCCTGGAGGACCTGGCCATGTTCCGAGCTGTTCCCAACTGCACGATTTTCTACCCAAGTGACGCGGTCTCCACTGAGCACGCTGTTTTTCTGGCAGCCAAAACCAAGGTATTTCTAAGCAGACATTAGTGACAGAAAAATGCATCTGGGTTCTGCTACTGCTTTGGTGCTGGTGATCGGGTCTTTCCTCTTTCCTGAGCATAAAGGTATTGGTTATATGGAATGTGGGTGGAAGAATCCTCTTAGAAGTAGAACCATTAAACTCTTTGCAGCAGAACCACTGCCAGCAAGCACACTCAGAGTGTGAACGCACATGCAGAGCAGGATGCCGCACCCCCGTGTGGGTGTCAGGTCTGCTCTGTGCCACAAGTGAGCTGAGAAGACAGAGCCTTCAGGAGGGTGCGGGGTGGGGGGGCTCCAGCAAGTTACCAGGTGCCAGCCCAGAGTGTGGCTATTGGGATCCCGCTGCAGATGAACTCCAGGGGCCCCAGTCCCCTCAGGAAGGGCACGAGAGTAGTTTCTACTCCACCTGTCACTCCTAAGGTCATGTACAAGGGCATTCAGGGGTCACAGTCTGGACCTTTCCAACCACTGTAAGCAACCTTCACCAGACTCTCCTCTCCACCCCCGCCCCGCACACGGTTGGGGTGCATCACGTGAGGCCCATGCCAGGCACTCCCGGCGCACTGAAGACTGCATGTTTCTTTGGCTGGGCTCAGACTGCACAGCGCATGCAGCACTTAACTGTGCTGGGAGTCACTCTACACCTGCGTTTATGCAGAGTGCTCTCCTGTGCGGAAGGGGTTCCATTTCTAGAAAGTTAAAAAGAGGAAAAACAAGGCTGTGATAACAGAAATCAGAAAAGTTGCTTCCCAGGGATGGGGAGAGTGCCTCCCGAGAGGGGTCGGGCACTTGTGGGCAGCGTGGCCGCTCTGTGGGCTCAGGATGCTTCATGGCATATACGGCTCTGTCAGAATTCTTGAAGTGCTCCACTCACGTAAATTTTACCTCGATGGAAACACAGAGTTGACTCCTGTGAGTGACTGAACGGAAGCAGGTTTCTAAGTGAATGTATTCGTTCATAATGTGCACCTTACACTCCTAGGTAGGTTAGTAAATGCTTTAAATACACGTGTATTTCTCTACACTCCTGGTTTTGTGCCCAAGTTCAGAAAAATTGAGTTTACATCTTATTGGAAAAATGGCGAGCCGCGTCCCAAGCTGGTGTCTGAGAGGTATGTCTGAGGCCAAAGCAGGGTGCGCTCGTGGCAGAGGAGCTACTGGTTAACACTGCTCTGGGCTGCGGCTTCCACAGGAGTCGGGGCCCTTGCCCTGAGTCCATGCTCCGTGGAGACAGACCAGGTTGGTACGTCCTCGGGGCGACTCCTGAACGGGAGTGTGACTGTGGCAAGCTTGCCCTTGAGGGCGGGACACCACACCAGCCTCCGGCTTTGGCCGGAATGGAAGGGAGCCTGATCAGGTTGGCCGGCGATTACAGGTGCTCATCCCTTGCACCGAATGTTTGCTGCATTTTCAATAAAAAGAACCATCCAGTCTTCTGCCCTTCCTTGTTCTTTAAGGATTATTTGTTGGCCGCGTGTAGTTTGGTTTCCTAAACTCTGCTCTGGTTTTGTCTGTGCCCCAGGGGATATGCTTCATTCGGACCAGTCGACCAGAAACTGAGGTTATTTATGCGCCACAAGAAAGCTTCCAGGTCGGAAAGGCCAAGGTAAGGCCTGGAGTTGTGTACTGTCACCTACTGTTACTTCCGAGAACACTGCTGCTCTAAAGAGCACGGTAGGACCCCATGTGCAGGCTTCGCCGCCTCTTTGCTGTAGCCTAGCAAAAGCCCGTTGAGACTCTGCCTCCTTGTCCCGGGAAGGAACGGTCTGCCGATGCCGTCCACACTGACCTTTTCTCCTTTCCAAATGGAGTCTCTCTTGAAGGCATGGAGTGGTGGACGAAAGTCCTCAGCCTCGAGCTAAACAAAAGAATGGAAATGATTTCAAAGGAATAGTAGATCTGCTCGGCTCAGGCTTACAGCTCCTAGGCCAGGGATGAAAGGGAACTTGAACTGTTCCGCTACTGGTAGTTCTGTGATTCTGAGGTGGGTGCGTGGGGTATGTTCTCAAGGCATGGGTTGCTAGTCCTGTTTTGTAGGCGAGGGTCAGAGAAGGCCAGCAATTTGCTGGCGGTTCACCGTGAGCTAGGGAGAGCAGGCAGGAGCCAAGCCATGTGGCCCCTTGGATGTTTCCTTCCTGCCTTTCCTGGACCTGTGTCCATTTCACGTGGCGGAGATGGTGCTGCATAGGAGATCTTCATGTCCTGCTTTCTCTCGTGAGCTGTCGTGCTTGCTGACACTCTTTTTGAGTATGTGAAATAGACCGGAGTCTCCTGAAGGGGCGATAGGTGACGCCGACTGGAGGGCTAAGGTTGAGGCTACTCCAGAATGAACAGAGGCTGGCGCTCGGAATGCCATAGTGCTATATGGGGCAGCCCTCGCCTGCCACAAGGTCGTCGGCAAACCCTGGTCGGAAGCGCTGCCAGGTTAACCCAGGTTCTGCTGTTCCCTGGACTCCCGTGGCACGCGCAAGGCCATGTGTCTGCCAGGGAAGGGGTGTCTCAGTGGCAGCCACATAGTTTGCCCGGCTTTTTATCTTCCTGTTGTCATCCCCGCCGCCCAATACGCCCCTGTCCTGGCAACACGATGTCAGTATCCTGGTGGTGAAGGATGTGAGTTAAGTGTGTGTGAGAACGTGTGTGACGCGGCTCATTCGAGGGCAGGGCTTTGTAAAGGGGACGTAGCTGGCATGCCTGTATATGCCTGTGTACTTATCAAAAGGCCCCAGCCTCAGAGGGTGGCTTGCAGGCCCTGGTTTCTGATCGTTCTGCACTGTCAGCAGTAGGGAAGCCCACTCGGGGCGAAATGGAGAATAAATGCCGTCGGTTTGCTTGAGTGGTTGCAGAGAAAACAAAACTCAGGAAAAAGACCAGGGAGCACTGGTCTTCGTCTACAGAATAGGAAGTGGCTGAGAACTTGGACTGAGAGGCCAGGCCTGGCTGCTGACCCCAGCCCTACTCTGGGAGCGTTCTCCCTGCTCCAAGGCGCACTTTCCCGGCTGGCACTGACCTTTCCAGGGCAGCATGCTCAGGCATGAAGGTGCTCGGCCCGAAGTGGGTCACAGATGCCCAGAACATTCCCTGTTAGCATGTTCATCAGCGTCCAGTCTGCAAGTGCGCCAGATCAGGGTGTCCCAGGGTGTCCAGGCAGTCCAGAGGCGCTGCCTTGCCCGACCTCTTGGTGGGCGTGAGTCTGTGCCCCAGCACCACTGGGCCACACGACTCACTTTCTGACCCTCTCTCTGCCTTTTGGACCCCGGTTTGAAATCCACTTTCTGTGCTCAGGGCCAGTTCTGCACGGGGGTTGTACAAGAACTTGGTCGGTGTGGCACGGGACTCTCAGGAGGGAGCTGTCGGGTCTGTAAAACAGGACGTGGGGAGTAGCGAGCAGGCGTCCTTGCCAGCAGGGTGGGGGCAGTGGAGCTGAGTGTGTCCTCCGCCTGGAGGTGCGCACTGGGTGGTAACCAGGGTGTTCTGTTGGGTGACACGATACCAGGTGGTGCGCCACAGTGTGGACGACAAGATCACAGTCATCGCAGCAGGGGTGACTCTCCACGAAGCCTTAGCAGCTGCTGATGAGCTCGCCAAGCAAGGTCAGTGGGGGGTTGCTGAACATCGAAGATCAGTTTGGGGGGAGGTAGGACTGGGCTGCCTCATGTACCCCAAGTGGTCTTGTGAGGATGCCAAGTCTGCTTCATCTACCAAGCTGGTTGTTGCTGTTCCCCAGGTATTTCTCTCCGCATCATCGACCTGTTTACGGTCAAACCCCTGGATGTCGCCACCATCGTCTCCAACGCCAAAGCCACGGGCGGCCGGGTCATCACGGTGGAAGACCACTCCCCAGAAGGTGCGCAGGCCTCGGGAAGGGTTTTGAAAGGCTGCTTTGGCAGGGTGTGTTTGTTTCCTCGACTGGAGGTGTGCGGTGCACTGGCGCGGCTCCTCCCGCTGCCCGTGCACCCGGTACCCTTGATCGCTGCTTTCTGCCAGTGTGCAGCAGAGGTGTGGGGTCTCTTGCCTACCGGCTCCGGCAGGGCAGGGCAGGGCCCGTCCTCACACATATGTCCCCAGCGCAGTACCTGGTCCCAGCACGGCCCAGTCTCAACTTCTTGTGGGCAGGGAGGGGTTGTAACAAGCTTCACAGCTGCTCTCGAGTCTCAAGCGATTAATAGTTTGCTCCAGAAAGGTAGGACTAGCACCTGCGAGCAGAGCATGCTGCACCGGAAGGCCACCGCTGGGACAGGACAGGGTTTGGCCGGACAAGGTTAGGTGGAGTAGACCCCATGGTTAGGTGGAGTAGACCCCAAGAGCACCCCAGTGCCTTCAGGACAGCAGTGTGCTCCCAGGAAGAGGCACATGGCAGGACCCACACCTCAGGCGTCCCTTTCTCTGACAGTGGAAAGGCACTGCCAGAGACCAGTGGTCCCCCGAGAGACTTGGCGTCTGGGCTTTTATGGGTCCTGAGGGTGCCTGGCCCAGCCCCTGGCGGCACTGGTGGTCCCGGGAGCAGAGATGTATGCTGTTCCAGAGCCAACTTTGCGGACGGCCCCTCTGCTACTCTCTTCTGTACAGTTCGTTTGGTGGTTTGAATTGACAGCTTTGAGAATGTCCACAGATCCCCACATCCATGAAGCCCTGGCTGAGAAGGCCCCTGAAGTAGAGCAGTTTGGAGATCCAGTGTCAAATGAGAACACCTCTGGCCATTTGGGGAGTGAATTCACGTCGGGCAATGGCTAGTGACCAGCATTTTCCCCGGGAACCAGCCAGTACAAGAGCCTCCCTCCCGCAGAACTGGAAAACAGGCCCCTTCAAGAACAGAACCTTCTGTCCTTTGCTTCCCAGGTGGCATTGGAGAGGCTGTCTCCGCAGCTGTCTCCATGGAGCCTGACATCCTGGTCCATCAACTGGCAGTGCCTGGAGTGCCTCGGAGTGGAAAGTCAAGTGAGCTGCTGGATATGTGTGGAATCAGTGCCAAACACATCATCGTGGCTGTGAAATGCATCTTAATGAACTAAGATCGCTGCTGGCCTTAGTCTTGGAAGACTGGCCCCCAGACGTGTGACTGCTTGTTGCCAAGCCATTGAGTTCTGTACTGCTGTGCTTTGTTCTTAGAAGCAGGTTAACTGCCTTCCTGTTAAGCTTAACTTCACATCTGAGTGCAATTGAGTCATCAAAGCAGGTGCCAGACCTTCAGTGACACAGTAGCTAACAGCAGCAGCGCTGGGTATTTCCTCGTGAGACAATAGATAAGTAAGTGGGCTGGGGATAACCTCGGGTCCAGGAGTTCCGTGAATGTGCGTGTTGCTGATGAGTAAACGTGGTGTGAGGAGAGTGGTGGCAGCATGTGCCGGGGCTCCCATGCGTTGCCTCCTGCCACAGCTTCAGGGTGCCGTGGGGAGGCGCTGCCCTGGATTGGCCTCTGCTGGTTGCTTCATTTCCTTCTGCGGGCAGAGGCTGTGGAGCAACGAAAGCCCTCAGGGTGTCCTGTGCTTCGTGCAGGGACCGCCCGGTGGAGAGGACATGCTAGTTCTACTCCCATGTGACTGCACACTCGTGAGGTTCCAGAAGTGTCTCATATACCCACTGATCAAACTAAAATGTTAGCTCAGTTATAGTCATCTAGTAAGGATACTAGTTCAAGTTCATGTTAATAAAGCATTCAAAAATAATGAAGTAGCAGCGTTATTTCACGTTTGCCGTGTGTGTGTGTGTTGGGTTTCTCCTTGGTAAAATTCTAAGTACGGAAGCAGCTTTTCTCTAAACCAGGAGAGAGAGCACATCCCCCAACAGCCAATGTGGGAAAGGGTCTGGGCAGGAGGGGAGGACCCAGCAGACAGTGAATGGACGGCCCAGCTGCAAGCCAGTGACCCTGCCCGGGAGATGCGCTGACAGCAGCAGGCAGACATGTTAATGGGGGGCTGGAGCTTCAAGACTAGATGTCCTTGGACTCGGTGTGCCTGCTCTGGTGTGTTCCTTATTTTCATTGCCCTCATTAACTGATCATTGGGGGTCTTTGCTCAATATTTGCTGGGGGAAGGCAAGTCACCAGAGACAGTGGGGAGCAGAGCAGGCAGGTCCACTGAGAGAGACAGCCCAGGGGAGCAGCGGGAAGACAGGAGAGGTCTGCTGCGCCCTGTGGGTAGCTCCCTGGCTGGGGATCGAACTCGTGCCCCACGGCCGTGGCTGCCCGTAGATGGCGTTAAGATAGCACTCACACTTAACTCCTTGCACCGCCAGGGAGGCCCTTCCCAGGGATAATTTTTTTTTTAAGATTGATTTATTTATTTACACAAGCACTGGGTACAGTCAGAAGCGCGGGAGGGTGAGAGAATTCACCAGAGCCAGAGCGGGGAGCAGAGCAGGCAGAAGGACTGAAGTACGCTGCTGAGGGGAGCAGCGGGCGCGGCAGGAGAGGTCTGCGCGCCATGTGGGCCCCTCGCGGGCGGCCGGGGATCGAACCGGCGCTGCAGGGGGTGCGGGCAGCCCCCGCAGTCTAGCGCTGAACCATTGAGCCACCAGGGGAGGCCCCTTCCCAGGGATTTTTGACTAGTGTGTCCCACCCGGGCAGGCATCCTGCTGAGCAGCTGTTAGCCGCCCTGACCACACGTCACCTGAGCCAATAGCGTCACCTGAGCCAATAGCGGCAGCACCCCTTGGGAAGGCTTGGGCAGCTGTGCGGCCTGCGAGGGAAGAAAAGGTGCAGAAGCCTTCCCGGGGGCCCCAGCCTTCCAGGCCGCGCTCCATCAAGGGCTACGGGGCTAGAAACGGGACGAGGCAGGCGGACGAGTAGGGCAACTTGAACCAGGGCTGCCTGGGCCCCAGGGCCTGGAGCATGCGGGGTTGGACGCGGGAAGCAGAAACCCTGACCGGTCACCCACGCCAATGATCTGTCAAGACACTTGGATGCCTGCACACACCCCACCCCCCACCGCCACGCCCCGGCGTGCTTTATGGCAGCCATCGCGGCCTCGGCGCGGGCAGGACGCAGCTGCTGCTCGACCTCGACTCTAGCGGGCTTCCCCGCCGGACTCGGAAAGTCCACGTCAGGGATGTCATCGCCGAGTCACAGAAGGCAGAGGGACAGCAGCCAGAGCTGTTCGAGGACGCGCTCCCACTTGAATGCGCGTGTAGAGAGCTGCTTCGGCGTCGCCCGCGCCACACACAGGGGACGGGTGTGCAGGCCCAGATGTGCGGACTCTCCAACCTCCGGCCCCGGCTCAAGCCCTCCGTCTGCGGAGAGGGCAGCTCTGGCATTAAAACCTGGTCAGCACTGGCGGCCATCCATGTGAGGTGTTAAGTTTCCTGCCACCCGCATTCAATTGGAGCCTCTGTTAAGTGGACCCCAGGCACTGAACCCAGCCCCGTGGACCGGCACGCTGACCTCCTTAACCTAGCACCCCGAGAAGTCGCACAAACGTTCAGACATTTCAGCCAGTAGCTACGTCTGGGAGACTTGCTGGGATGAGCCGGTCCCTTCTGTCAGATGCTGTCTGTCCCCGGGAGCAGCCGCATCGGGGCCTGGTTACGGGTTTCCTGTCGACAGCGTGGGTGCTGTGCAGGGTCTCGAGGACAGCGGACGGCCCCCCCGCCCCGGTGACGCAGTGACAGTCCTCCAGCTGGCGAACGCCAGTCCCCCAGACGCAGAAGGGCAGGCCGCCGGCGCAGCAGGGGAGGCTCAGAGGCGCTGGGGGCCTGAGGCTGTCCGCTTCCGCGGAGCCCCACCGGAAAGCTGGCCCGTTTCCAGGTCTCAGGGTCCCACTGTGCGCCCACGGCCCCGCCCTCCCGCGAAAACGAGAAACACGTGCGCCTGGGGCGCAGCCGGCTCTGGGATCCGGGCAGCCCAGACGGGCGCGGCGCCTGACCCCCGGCACGGTTGGCCCGGGGGCTGCAGGCGGAGACAGCAGCTGGGGGCTGCCCTGGGGGCGGGGGGCTCGGGCCGCACAGCTGTGGCTGCAGCTGAGAGGGAAGGATGCTGGCTATGTCTTTCGTCCCCGGGCCCCTCGGTGCCCTGACAGTCATCCACGCCTCGGTGCTGCCAGCCCTCAGGGCAGCAGCAGCAGCAGCAGCGCCAGCGACCCAGGCACTTGCGCCACTGGGCCCTTCAGCCCACTAAACCACGGCGGGGAAGCTGGCCGCTGGCAGGCCCCCGCAGGACACCCCACTTCCCGCAGGCGAGGAGCTGTGGCCGGCCCTGCGGCCCAGGGCCTGGCAGACCCATGCCCAGAGCCCCCATCTGGGGCCACGCCCGGTGCCAGTTCTCTAGCAGTCGGGCCGGAGGCAGGATACACACACAGCTCCTGCACAGAGGGCAGGAAATGGGGGGCTGCTCAGTCAGGCGTGGCAGGGCGGGAGGTGCAGAAAGGGACACCCAAGTGCACAGGTAGCGCCGGAACAAGCAGCGGCCGCTCCGAGACGGAGGGGCAGGGGCAGAAAGAAAGCAAGAGGTCGGGGTCATGGGCGGCTTGGTAGGAGCCGGGCCGGTGGCCCCGACGGCCAGAACCCAGGTCTCCGCGTGGGTGGGGACGGTGGCCAGTGGCGCCTTCCAGGTCACTGACTCTTTGTCCAGCGGCATCTGCTTGAGGGTTAAGCCACCCCTGAGGCTTCTGCTTCCAGGCCGTGCTCCTCCACTTCAGAAGTGTTTGCTCTTTCCAAAGTCAGCCCGGGCTCCTGTCACCTCGCCTCCGTGCCTTGCCGCTCTCTGTCTCGCGCCCAGCCTCCGCTTGGGCCCCACGGCTGGCACCACCGCCCCCGGCTTGGATCGGGCTTGACTTCCGGGCTCTGCCGGGCCCAGGAGGCTTGGGCCCCCGAGTCCCCGGCCCCCAGGAGTCTCCTCCACCTGCCGGGAGCCATGGGCGGGCGGGCACCTCCGGCCCGCGGAAAACCTCTCGGACACCAGCACCCACCAGCAAGCCCCCCTGCCTTTCCACGACAAGTGACAGGCGACCGGGCCTCCCTGGGGTCTCAGGGGTGAGCCTCAGCGCCATCAAGCTATCGCCAGCCACTGCAGCCTGAGTGCGGTCCCCGGCCAGGGCGCTGACCCACAGGGCGCAGCAGGCAGGCCTCGCCTGTCTCCCCGCTGCTCCCCTCAGCAGTGGATCCGCCTGTTCTGCTCCCCACTCTGTCTCTGGTGAGTGCTCTCACCCCCCCTCCCCGCACCTCTGGCCTGCACCCCAGCTCTTCTACGCATAAATAAATAGAATAAGTCTTTAAAAGGGAGAGACAGGGCCTCCCCTGGTGGCGCAGCGGTTGAGCGCTGGGCTGCTGAAGCTGCCCGCAGCCTCTCCAGCGCCGGTTCGATCCCCGGCCGACCAGGCAGCGAGGGTCCCACATGGTGCGGCAGACCTCTCCTGCCGCCCGCTGCTCCCCTCAGCAGTGTGTTTCGTCAGTCTGCCTGCTCTGCTCCCCGCTCTGGCTCTGGTGAATCCTCTTGATACCGGAATTGTCAGGCTTAGTCTCCCAGCCAGGAACGGATCCCAGGCTGCAGGGCAGCGCTGAGCCCCAGCCACGAGACCCCCACGGGCGGGTGTCTCATGAAGTCGCAGCAGGAACTTCGCAGACGCTCAGGCTGCTAAAGCGAGAAGAGGCAGGTTTGTTTAGAGAAAGAAAAAGTTTATTGAGGAGAAAAAGAGCAGAAATAAAGTGGGACTCCCAGGCCAGGGAACCAGGCCTGGGAGGGGCAAGGAAGCCAAAGTGGAGTCGTGTCTCAGGGAACATAGACCTTTTTCCCCTCATTATTCTACAGCTCCACCCGTCTCTCTGTGATGGGTTAGTTCTCGGCTGTCTCACTGAATTTGCTACTGAGCGGGGGATCTTCACATTCCTTATCTAGCAGGTTTGTCTTTCCCCATTTGTTGCATCTTTAAATTTATGGCCCAGTCCTCTGGATGGACATCCCTGCATTGAAGCTAAACAGCTGCCCTTCTAAGTGGTCCATAAATTAAACCACTCTCCATTTCTCCAATCTCTGCCTCCCTTTACCACCCGAAGGAAATCAGGACCAGCGTTAACAATGTTGTCCTTGGTCCTGGCATGTTTGTTTTTCCTAGTGGAATTGGTTACACGCCTCTTGCTGCCCTTCTCTCTGAAGCCTTCCTCAATTCTCCAAGGTCTCCTCCGGCAGTGTCCCTAAAACTGCCTAATTCCTAGCTTGCCCTGTGTCTCACTCTCACCCTCCCGCGCTTCTGACTGTCCCCAGTGCTTGTATAAATAACTAAATCTTAAAAAAAAAGAGAGAGACAGACAGACGCCGGCCCGAGGGGCGCAGCTGCCACGTCCAGAGCAGGAGCCGACGGCCTCGCGTCCGCCGAGCTCCTGCAGAGGCACAGGGGGTGGCTGGCGGCGAGGACTCCAAGGGCCGCTGGTGCCCAGTGCCCAGCTGAAAACTGCCGTTTGGAACAAAACGGCCCCAGACCCGCAAGCGCGGGAACGACGGGGGATGCCCGCGGGCTGCGAGGAGGAGGCGTCCTCGGGCGTTGTGCGGGGGGGGGGGGGGGGCGGAGGTCAGCCTTAAGCTGCTCCCCAAGGCCGTCCGCTAGCACGTGCGGAAACACTCGCGCCCAGGCCCTCGCGCGTAGCGGTTCCAGGCCCGGGGGCGCGGGCCACCCGGGCGGAGCGCGCTGGGGGCGGGGCCGCCAGGGGCTCGATGCGGATGAACGGCCCCGATTGGAG